CAACCTGATAGCGATGTCATCCAACCTAATAGCGATGGCCTCCAACCAGAAAGCGATGTCATCCAACCTAATACCGATGGCCTCCAACCCAATAGCAATGGCCTCCAACCTCCTGTCTACGGTTAATGAATCTATATATATATATATGTGTGAATATGATTGAATATTCATGAGCTTTAACTGTTGAGTGCGGATGAACCGTTATGGGCCATGTCGAGTAACCAGCAGTCAACTCTGAAAGTTGTGTCCTCTCGACCCAATACCCTGTATATATCCTGTTGGTTGATTTTGTGGATTTAGCCACATCCTAGCATACAATTGTGGTTCTCCTCCTCTCGTCCAGTTTGAGCATTGACCTTCCATCAAGCATGGCTCAGAAAACCTTTCCGGACAAGACTAGTGACTAGTAACTTTGTCCTGCCTGCGAATAAGACAAGTGCGGCGTCAAACAGGAGAAATCAGGCAGTTCTTAGCACCGGAAACAACCAAATTAGACTAAGCCACATCTTTCTCACAAAACAAAACAAGATCAGCTCCAGGTGTTACACGGAAGCAGAACAAGCATCGGCTGTCTTCCGCCTCAAACGCCATTTCACGATGTATTTGCATGTATTGGTGAGCCACAGAAATCAACAAGAACACGCGTGTATTCATTCTATATCATTCGAAACCACGCACCTTTGTACTTTGTACTAATTTGTACTTTGTACTAAGCGCTTCTTAGGTCGTCGCACGACAGACCTTCAAGTTGCGTTTGGTGTCAATGGTCAAAATCCGATCTGTGATGGATTTCACCACCTCAATGGCATAATCATGACGCCTGGCAAACAACCAATGGCTGCAGCAAGTTGATCAAATCAAACACGCTCCAAACAAGGAAAAACAGGAACATAAGGACAACGAAAGCACTCCCAAATCTGAAAAAAAGACAGTGCAGCATTTTTGCCTCGTATTGAACAGCATGCAACCAGTGATGGATTAAGTGTGTCGACATTGCATGGCTGCATGCCTCCAGCGGCTGAAAAGAGGGACGTCACTGTGCTTGGGAAACGGCCGTTGTCCTGGTGCCTCAAAGCTGACACTAAGAACCGGGCAGCACTAGTTGTCAAGAAACTTCAAACAAGCAAAAAGCCGCCAGATTTGGCAAAGGACGCCAAGCAGCTCAAGCCTTCATGTACAGTATTCAATACGTTCTTGCTTTTGGCTGAAGGAGTCGACTTTCAAAAGTATGCAGTGCGCATCAGTGCAGTGTCTTGGTGTCTTGTTTGAGGCTTGGAGCCCCAACTCGTGAGAGCTCCATGGCATCCAAGTGCTCCTCATAGCGAATTGAATCATTCACATCAATAAACTAACACATGCGGCACAAACCTTCAACACATGCGACACATGGTCATCATTCGAATTGAAGCTCAATTTTGAAACTATACTACATGAGTGATGGACAAACATTCTAGGCAAAGGGACCTCTTCAAAACGGTCAGGAGCCGACCCAAACCAGAGAGTTTGTCCAATCCTGATATACATGCATTCATGATATATCGTGCAAATGAAACTATTAGTTATATCAAAACATATCATAATAATATATATATATATATTATGCTCTTCGGCTTGATTAGGCAACACTTTCTGAACAGCTCTTTCACCTTGTTAAGGTGCATCGAACGTTACTCTCTCCTGCTCTATTTCAGCGAGACGCGCATCATTCTCTTCCGGCACCTGTCGAGTGTGAGGTGCTGATCCAGCATTCTGGGATTCTTAGGGATTCTTTTATGCAGCGCTCGGCAAGACTGCAACACTGCAACCTCTGGTTTTGGGCGAAGTGCTATTCAAACAAGTGTGATGTGTCCGCTCTCAGCCTTAAACTTTCCAGCCCTGCGGCCATTCCTTTTTGGTCGACCTTCATATCGCTGGCATTCATGGCAAATATTTTCCATATTAAAGACGAAATCCAAAGGCAGGTAGGTCATGAAGTTTCAGCAACAAAAAGCTATGAATCGCAGGCCCTATCCCTCCAAGGACACCACGCAAGAATGATGCTGCAGCTTCTCTTGGAAGATGAGCAAGGATCCTACAATCCAGTGCTGGAAAAATCGAACATATCGAACCAGTCGAAACATTATATACCGTTCTGCATCGTTCTACTGTAGCACAAAGAGTAGAACGATGACAAAGAGGCACGGAATGTGGCCACCCCGAAGCCAATTCCTTGACCACACAGGCAAGTCAGAGAGCAACTCTGCGATGTCGAAAGCCTGGGACTTCGACATTCCACAGTCCGTGCTGAATGATTTGCAGCAATTCTTGTCTGATGGCTTCATATGATTTCCATGCAATTTGTATGGTCATAATTTGTTTCGTGTGGTTTCGCCACATGTACCACGGTGTCGCTCCCCAAACAAAGCTTCCTTGGTCAATGGAAAACACTCAGGCTGCCCACCTGGAGTGTGCCTTGACGTGTGCCCACCAGCAAATACCAATCACGCCTTAGGCCGATCCAATTGAACGCAACTTTTCATTTCATCTCTCTTTTGAACCAACTCCTCAAGCCAACGACATCGCAGCACAGCCTTTTGAGGAATATGCTGCAGACCGCCAGTTACTTGGATGTTCGGCAAGCAACACATCGCCCATTTTTCATCTACAGTCATCTGCCGCTCCTCCAACAACTCCGGCTGAAATAGATTCAGTGCCCCTTGGCAGCTTTGCCCGCCTTTAGCAGGACGCCAATCTGGGAAGCACTCACCTTGACCCCAGTCCTCACAAAAAGAATCGCAAAGAGTCAGGAGTGAACTTGACGTTCTAAAGGCAAACCAACACCAATTTAAGCAACACCGACTGTGCAAACAACTTCAATAATTCAATCAACACTTCTCTCAACATGTAGCCAGTGGCTGAGACTGCCACGCTACCTTTAAGAGGAATACTTTTAACAACTAGCCCATAAATTACTTCTTCTGCCAAAGCCAATGCAGCCTAGGGCCTAGCCAAAAACAAATGAAAGTAAGTCAGATAAAATATAGCAACGCAGCATATGTTGTACCACTGACATGTTTGAATCAGGTCCAGTATTCATGTCGGATCTTTACTTGAAATCTCTTGAAATGTTCCAAATTTTCCCGAAACACGGGCTGAACACTGACGGGGTGCAAGCTTGATACCAGGATCATACCACCTCGGTCAAAGGAACAAGTCTGACACTGCAAGTATGACACAGTATGATGGAGATGACAAGGTCTCAAACTTACAGTAGCAAAAACAAGCCAACAGGACACAATGGCAGCTCAGCGACCCCAAAGCAAGGCGATGGTCAAGAAGACCTCAGACTCAGATCTGGCCACTGAAAGCACTTGAGAGGAGGGAGACACGAAAGGTAGGACAGCGGGAAGAGAAGAGAACGCGAGAGGCAGGAACAAAAATGCAATGTTCGACATGGTGATTTATCCCCTCGGAGGCGACCTGTCGTAAATATATGTTCATATGCACTCTAAATGTTCAAACATATGCTCTCGAAATGTTCAAAAAGATTCTGAGGAAAACAAACTTGCCCCATGGCTCAGATCATCGGTGAGCATTGAATCGAAGCATCATAGGATTTGAACTATCCTGAAACCATCATAAGAGGCTCACGAAGACGTTCCCCAGGAGAGAATTGACGTGCTTCACAAAACAAACTCTAGGTATGTATCCCCTCGGGGAACACCTTTCGTGATTAGAATTTCATATGCACTCTTTCTGAATGTTCATGGTAGAAAGGACTTCACCCCGGCACACGCAAGGTGATGAGTCTCTGAATGTTCAAGAGGGTTTCAACTATCCTGAAATCATGAGAGGCTCACGAAGACGTTCTCCAGGAGAGAATTGAATTTAGAGGGGGGGGGGTCTGTATTGAAAAATCAATTCCAAGGGGGCCGGGGGGGTGGTCTGTATTGAGAAATCAATTCGAGGGGGGGGGGGGGAATTGAATGATCAATTATTAGACCCGGACGCGCCAACACTTGCTTCGCAAGACAAACTCAAGGTATCCCCTAAAGGGCTACCTTTCGTGATTTGTAAAAATAATGCTGCAAAATCTGAAGTTCTAAAGCAATAATGTTCAGCAGTTGCACATTCTTTCTAGATCTCAAGGTACTTTAAGCCATGCAAGCCATGTCACGTTCAAGAAGAGCACTACCGCACCAATCGCCATCCAACGCTTGCACTTTAGTTTTTCCTTCATGAAGGGGTTGACAGCCATGTACCCAAAGGGACAGCACATGCCCAGCTACTGACAGAAAGTGTCATTCCCTTAAGGTCTCCTCGAAGAATTTCACGAGCTTATCAAATGGCTTCGAGATTGCCAAAGCGATACTGATTCGCACAGGTCTGACAATGTTGCTGATCACCTTAAGGGTGCAAAGCCCTGCCAATTGCTTTAACAACCAGGCCACTTTAGCACAAGCTTAATGGCTCAATGTTCTAAGGAGGCGCTTCTGTTGCTAGTCAAGTCTTTGATCCTTCCACTTCAGCTGAAAGAAGGTGACTTCTTTTAGTGTTGTCCACCTCTATACAACTCCGAGTTGCGTATAGTCCTGCCCACGTGATGCCAAATTGCTTTAGCGACGCCTGGAACATTTGAAAAAGCAGTTTGGGTCTAGAACTCAACCAAAGGACCACCAACTCCCAGCAAATCCCAATCGTGCAGTGCAGCACTGTTTCCTTACTAAGGAAGGTGTACAAACCGCACACAGGCAAGCAAACTGGAATGAGCTGGAATGAGTCTCCAAAGGATATTTTGGCGATATGAGACTCAGAGATGCACGTCGTGTTCATGGCACACAGGCACACATCTGAGATGAAACAAAGGGTTGCGAGGCAAGACACGCGCCTTGCTAGCCAAAGGGCTTGCCCCAGTGGCCAGGATTGATCGGTATGTTGCTAGGAGGATAAGCAGTAACGCGTTGACATTCGACACAAAGCCATAAGACAAGAGGCACCTGAGAGACATTCCAGGGATGCACCCCTCGTTGATATTTACACAACAGAAAAGGTAAAACAAGGTAAAACCAATTGCACAGGATATTCAACCCCACTATTCTCACAAAGTGACTCACTCATACTCATCGTCTGAGAAAAGCTAGTTAACACTTCTTGATTCTGTTCTGAGCACATCACATCAGGCCCATTTTTCGCAAAGCTTTGGCATCGATCTTGGCAGTCCTTAGCTGCTGCAAAGAGGTCCAGCGATTGATAAGTTCAGTTAGAGCAACTTGACAGCTGCATGCAGCAGCTGAAACAACTCGAGGAGAGTGCAACTTTGGGGATTGGAATATATAGTATATTGGAATCTTTTGCAACTTGATGGCTCTGTAGAAAGCAATGTGACATGGACCGCTAGCCATTACAGACAAGAGTCACTAGTCTCACTCGTCTCCCATTATCTTCCCATCACTTTTCAGGCAAGGCTCTTCTTCCACCATCTCCTGAACCCTGAGGTCTTCGTGGATTCAGCACTATCCTTCCAGCCAAGCACACATCGGACATGCTCGGCGCACAAGTCAAAGAAACTGCAAATGCACGCCTTCACATCCTCAGTCTCCTCCTTCTCTGCTTTGGCAAGTATCTTCCGCACTCTCTTGTGTCGTGCGACCACAGCAACTGTAGTTGCCGTCAAAGCACCGTTGGCACTTGCTTTGCTGCATCGAAGCGGATCCACAGCAGCCAGACCCCTGCACACTCAGTTTTTCCTTCAATTCTTTAACCACCAACCCACAGCAATGCTGATGTCTTTTCTTTTAGGCTCGTGAAATTTGTCAAGTCATGCTTTACCCAAGTGAACACCTTTCTACTCACGACATGGCCTGGTGGGACCAACCACAGCAGGGTGAGCCTGTGCCACACAAAATGGGAATGAACAAGCACACATCAGTACACATTCTGTCCACTCACCAAAGTCAGCGTGGAGAGACACATTGACATCGGTATCATGCCACGCGCAAAGCAAAGGATTTCAAAGGCTCCAGCCAATGGCGCAGCAATCATCGCCATGGCGTCGGCTTCAAGATGCTCAAATGTTAAATCAGGATGTGTCAAAGATCGAAGTGAGGACGGTGTGTCAAAGACATGTGATTTTTGCCAAAAATGACAGTGAAAAAGACATGGGTTGCGTCGCAAAATTCGCAAAGCTATCAGGTGCCAGGCCCTCTGGGTGGAGTCTGCCGAGGCATGTGCCTGGCGGCAAAGCGAAAAAAACCGACCACACGGTTCACGCAGTTAAAGTATGTAAACAAGTAGAATCAAGTAGACACGAAATGACAAGAAAATGGTGTGGGGGCACATGCTTGCAAGTACTGTAACATGCTGAATTCAGCGCATGCTCCATGAGACTCCATGCTTCTCGATGCTATGTTTTGTCTTCTTGGCCTTCTAGCGGCCAAAAACATGAAACAAGAAAACTTTCTTCATTGGTTTCTTCTAGAATTAACAACAGTAAGTTACCACTGTACCTACGTACTGCAGGCACTCTTCTTGCACGGAGATACTTGAAGAGCATGCATGTACCATAGCACATGCAGTACATAGTGAGGACACAAAACATGACACTCTTCGCCAGCTTTGGGACTCAAGACATAGCTTGCCTTCGAGGGGATGCTGCAGAACTGTCCTCGGCAAGCACCTGCTGCGCAACCTGCACCGCTGGACACTGCTGGACAGAGTGTAACAGATGTGGCAACCCACAAGCTTTGCAGTAGCAAAGGGCATCGCTAGTAGTAGCAAGTGCATCGACATTAGTAACAAGGGCATTACTACTAGTGACATGAAGCTACTACAAGTAGTAGCAAAGAGCACTACTAGTAGTAGTCTGCCAAAAGAGGGTGTACTCTCAATCATCTTGATCATTGACACTGCTCAACACTGAACTGTTTTCTACGTTCTTAGCAGCTACAACCATTGAAGCAGGGTCGGTCTTACGTTGAAGTCCCTTGCGTACTTTGTCACAGTTTCATAATGTGATATATATATAATATATATTTAACATCGCCGGACCCAGGTTAACTCTGTGAATCTTGAAATGTAAAAATGCAAAAACAAAGCAAACAAAGCAACTACAAAAACAAAAAACAAATCAAAAAAGCAAATGAAAAAGCAAAAGCAAAAAAACAAATCCAAAAAGCACAAATCAGCAAATGAAAAAGCAAAAGCAAAAAAACAAATCCAAAAAACATGTGGAAACTCGACCGAACGAGGTTCCAGGCGCACTTTTCGCCTGAAGCGTAGCAAGTAAATGGCTTAGGGCTAATGGCCGCGGACATGAGAAATCACTCGCCCTCAAACGCAGGAATCCGACCTGAGGCAAGGCAAATCATTTCACAGCTGGTCCAATTCTTTTGTGGCTCAGGGATGGATTCCGGCTAAAGAAGGTAATCAGAGTTGCAGCGGATGCACCCAAATTGGCGCGAACATTCAAATCCTTCATGTTGACACCATCTTCAAGGCGTCGCACAACAACCGCATGAGCTCCTTCAAAGCATGCAAAGCTAAATCTATACGGCAGGTCTTCAACCTTAAATCTGGGTTCTGGCGATCGAAACGATCGAGCGTTGGAGCAAACATGTACAGCCAACTCTTCTGAGATTCGGCGCCATCCGGGCTGCTTCCCTAACTTCAACGCATGCCCGGCCCATTCAACGGATCTGAGCTTTCAAAAGGTGTGCCCAAGTCACTGCGAACATCTTCAAGAACCACCTTTTTAGCGGATTTTCCTTTGGAGCTTTGTTTCGCAAAGCTGGGTGAATACTTGATGCACCAGCGACATTCGCTCAGAATGCGAAGTAGATGTCGGCTATCCATGTCTTTCGTCCCACAGTCCACGACAACATCATAGTGGATCTGAGCGACCAGCCACTGTCTGTAGAGAGCCGAGCGCAGCACGAAGTTGTTTGTGCTCTGCGGGATGCAGGGCAGCGCCAGGTGTCTTCTTCCGGTCAGGGGCGATCTTCACCTGCTGCAAGTTGGCATGGTACTCCTCCATTGACACAGAAATCGAAGTTGTTCAATCTTTTTGCCACAGTAGACGACGGACTTGTTGGAAATTGAGCCAAATCCCAACTCTTCACCAAGGGACTCCAAGGTCTTCTAAGCACGGGCATTGCCACCCATCAACAGGTCATCAACATGCGACAGCATGATGCCTTCAAGCTGCGATCCATCTGCACTCCACGCAAAGCATCCACGTTGCGCTATCCAACGTAGAAATCTTCCAGCCTCTCTTGGGCACCGCCTTGTTGAGGCGTTGGTACCATCGTCGAGGACTGTCGGCTAAGCCAAACATGCCCTTCTTGACCCTGCAAAAGGCAATGTAGGCTCAACAGCATGCTTGGTCTTGATGTTCGCCAGATAGAGCACCCTTTCTTCGGGGCCAAACTCTTCACCTTTCAAGAAGGCGGACTTTATGTCAGCTGACAAAGGTTCCATTGCATAGAAGCTGTGTAGGCCAGGAGAAGGAGCTGACTTGTCCTTGAAGCCGTTGGGGTGTCGCCGGATGCCATAGGCGGAGATGTCCTGATAGCCAGGACCACCAGGCGAGCATTTGCCAGGAGAGGAAGCTGATTCGTCTCTGTGCGCGGCCGTCGTTCTTGTCGACGACGACAGAGCGAGGAACCAAAATTCGATGGCTTTGGTTCTCCGCCTTCAACCTTGCACGAATGTGGACAGCTTCATCATCTGGAAGGATCTCCACTGCATCATTGTCCGTCCAAACAGCCCATCCTTTCTGAGCAGCTGCGCGGAACTCCTTTTTCTCAAACTCCGTCAGGGAGCCCCAAGACTTTTCCTTCCGAGCCGTGAGCACTGCGAAGACCCCTGAAGCAGCTTCATGGTTCCCAAGCGGCCAAACCTAACCAAGGTTCTTCAGACATGCGCTGCCAGGTAGATCTTGAGGGAAGTGGCCAATCACCACGCCAAGCGCCATGATCAAACACTCTGCTGCCAATGGGATCTCGTCGATCCAGGGCGGCCAAAGCTTGTAGCTGACGAAGAGGATGAATTTCTGCCTTGGCTTGCAACCCCATCACTTCATGAGGCATGGCGGTCATATTCAACACTTCACTGGTCTGTGGAGCAGTGACTGAAGACGGAGGACAGGAATTTCATCTCCGGTCTCCTGAGCTTGGTCTCGAAGTTGTTCAGCATCTAGTTCAGCTGAGCGTTTGTTGCCAGCTTCTGGAACTGGTACTTCTTCAGCTGCTCGGTCATGAACTTGTAGTAGAGCTCGTTGATGAGGGAAAGTCGAATGCGATAGATCAACGCTAGGCCTCAACGGTGAAGAACTCCTGCGGGCGCTAGAGCCAGGTGCTCCATCAATCCCGGGCGTTAGAGCACGAGACATTCCAGCAAGGTGTAGAGGAGGTAGGTCACAGGTAGGTCATGAGGTGCTCGAGATTCATGATGTCCAGGAGGTTGAGGAAGCGCGGGGGGCGTCTCAGGTTCTTCTGCCAAAGAAGGGAGCCGTTCATCTTGTCCAGAATCGTGTAGTGGAGGTTCCGAGTCTCGACCGCTGGAAGCACGAGTCATGGTCATGACACGCAGCATTGATTACCTCTTGGATGGCGTCCTCCCAAACAGAGCTTGACCTGTTCCATGGCGCTAGCAGCTCGAACATGTTCAAGAGCGCGCTTCGTCAACTGTACATCGCGGCTCACAAACGCGTTTGCGCGACCTTCCAAGGCCACAAGCAAAGCTGGACCATGCCATCGACGAAGGCTAAGACGCTTCTTCGAGCCTGAGGTCTTGTTGCGTGGAGATCACGCGCGGACCGTCGAGGCGTCGATGAGCTGCCGGCAGTGTGGGTGCTGACGATGGCTTGACTTTTGCCTGAGCTGCTGAAGGTGCCGGATCGGTAGAACTCGTCGAGCTGCTGCTTTGGGCCAACCACCCGCCGAACCGCGTCCACTTCTTCTCCCTTGCGAGTCAGAGCGGCTGCTTCGATCTGAGCCTCCTGGATGGCCTCCCGTTTCAGCTGAAAACAGTCCCTTCATTGCACGGGCTGCCAGCGTTCCTTGAAGAAGAACATCCTCCATGAAGGCGAACTGAAACCCGACTCGGTTCCGGATTTGCCCAAGCTCCAACAGGTTCTTGGTGGTGTACACCTTGTTGACCCGGCCTCGCTGCCAATGAAAGTGCGTGATAGCCTTTGGCTTTTGGAGGGTCATTGAAACAGCCTGATCCTCCCACTGCTTGACATGCGAGACGCTTGGATACGGGAAGGGAGCATAACGAAGCTGAGGTCGCTGCAGCAACCATAAGAGCAATACGGTCGTGCCATTCTGCTCTGGCACGCGTGCGAAGAACCATCCTTCGCCATGTCCGATCATGCCTGGGTCGTCCTGAGTGCATGACCACCGTGGATGCCATTGAGTCCTTAAGTCACTTGAAGTCGTCGGTCGGCTAGAGGTAGTCGATGAAGTCGTCGAGATAGCCGGTGGGGTTTGAGCCACCTTCATTGCTTGAGCCGACAAAGAGCTCTCAGTGACCAAGTGCTCGTGATGTGAGGCAAGTGCTTGCAAAACATCTTCAAAATGAGACAAACGAAAACGAAGCTTCTTGTTCCACCAACCAAAAACTACTCAACTGCATCCCAACCACACCATCTTGAGTGCCCGGACATGCCCAGGCTTTTGCCGGCTGCAAAGGCAGGGTGAAATGACCTGCCGCGAGCTGGCCCAAATCAAGCGGCTCTCCACCGACCAGGTCGGCGCGGAGTTTCTTCCGAGCGAACGACATCTTCCCAACAACAATCCCAAGGAGGCCACCATGAGGGTGGAGCCAACCGTCATAGGGAGCCTGTACCTGACATTGGAACGTTGGGCGCCACCATTTCCAAACCTGAAGAGCTCGTTTTCGGGGATGTTGGAAACCAGGTCCTGGATAAACTTGGGAGCATGCTGCAAAACATCAAAATAACACTTCAACCAGGTGGAGCCAGCACAGGTGCGATTGCGCGCCGAATCCAACGCGCCGACAAATTGTTTGTTTGCCGCCAAGCGAGA